TAGCTACTTATCAAGGAATTAGAACAGTAGGTCAACTTCATGAAAGCAGTGAGCTCCTAAAATAAAGAAACCTATCTCTGTGAAGCTTTTCTCAAAATGACAAACTTAGAAGAGCATCTCTGCTGCTCAGCAAACGTTGCTAGCAATATGGCATTCCAGCCAGAGGGTTTCTTTTTAACATGCGCCTATGACAACACAGTAAACAACACTGGCCAGGTTCCCCCAGAGGGGCTTAATGATGGCGTCCGTGGCCTTCCGAGGAAAGGGGAAACTCATAAGCTTTATAGGGCAGGGGCGCCTGGGTGGCTTAGTCAGTTAAGCAATCAACTCTTAACTTCAGCTCAGGTCATGATCTCAAGGTCCTGGGATCGAGCCCCGTGTTGGGCCCTAACCCTGCTCAGCAGGGAGTCTGCTTCAGAGTCTCTCCCTTTGCCCTCCCCTCCTTCAAATAAATAAGAAAGAAAGAAAAGAAAAGAAAAGAAAAGAAAAGAAAAGAAAAGAAAAGAAGCTTCATAGGGCAAAGGCAGTAGTGTGCTCCCTGTGAGATGACTACACACACCGCAAAAGGAAGAGAAGGAGGGAAAAGGGATGGAGATGGAAAGACAGGGTGGAGAAGGGACGGAGAAGCAGTTCTGAAAGCAACAGGGGTGACCTTGAAAATACTGTGCTCAGTAAAAGAAGCCACAAGTGAAGTCCACGTTATATGACCCCATTTATATGAAATATCTGTAAGAGGGAAATCAGGGGATTGACAGCTGAAGGGTACAGCTTCTTTTTGAGGCGATGAAAATGTTCTAAAATGGACTGTAGTGGGGGCACCTGGGTGGCTCAGTGGGTTAAGCCTCTGCCTCCGGCTTAGGTCATGATCTCGGGGTCCAGGGACCGAGCCCTACATCGGGCTCCCCACTCAGCGGAGAGTCTTCTTCTCCCTCGGCCTCTGCCCCTCCCCCTGCTTGTGCTCACTGTCAAAGTCTTTAAAAGCAAAACAAAATGGACTGTAGTGATAACTGCACAACCCTGTAAATGTACTAAAAGCCACTGGATTGCACACTTTAAAACAGGTGAATTACAGTATGTGAATTATAGCTCAATAACGCAGCTTTCAAAATACTACTCCGGAAGCTTCACCTTGTACTTAGACTAAAGTGGTCACCATGTCCTAGAAGGCCCTATATGATCCAGCCCCTTCTGAATTCTGTCTTTTCTCCAGCACCCTCCACACTCTAGTCACACAGGCCACCTTCTGAGTTCCAGAGACAGCTCAGTCCTCTTCTGCCTCAGGACTCTTACACCTGATCTTCTGGCCTGGACAGCGCTTTCCCCGCTCCTTGCGGGTCACCTCTCATCAGGGAGGCCTTTTCCACTTCATCTAAACTAGCCACCACTTACCACCTCCTCAGGCCCTCCCTATCCTGTCAACCGGTTTTGTTTGCTCCAGAGTACTCAGTGAGATCTGAAATTATTTCATGCACTGTGTCTCTTCAGAGAAAATGACATCATGAGCACAGGCCTAACCCCTACAGTATGCCCAGCACCTGGAATGGTGCCTGGCAGCAAGCAGGCACTCAAACACTGTTGACTGATGAACGAAGGTCACGACAATACCCCCTGACCTAGGAGGTTCAGGGATTGTTTACACAAGAAACGTACAAGATACAAACCAGAACATTCTCCACCAGAAAACGTAATTGAGCCGAGGAGAAATCAACAGGTCTATCTCTCTGAATCTCAGTAGCATGAAATGTAAGCTAAGACAGAAAAAAAAGTGATGAGCTTTTGGAGAATGTTATTCAACCAAAGACACCACGTGCTGGTGCTCCTACGGGTCCCGGGCACACTGGCTGATGGGTGCTGATGAAGAGCGGGTGAGGTTTGCCTTCTCCCAACGGAGAAAAGGATGTAAATACTTAAAAGTCCCCCATTAGGAAAGTAACAAATTTCCTAATTGGGGGGTCTTTATATTTAGGTTTTTGGTTTTTCTGGTCATGTTTGTTTGGGGAGATGTTACATGATTTCATTAAAACCATCACTGCTAATAAACTAAGTGCTTTTCCCCCGGGAATCCGAAAGGCCACCTGCACGTACAGGACGTGAGCACACGCAGGAAAAACCTGAGAATACTCTAAGCTCTCACCTCACAGCACACATGAAAACGAACTCCTTTTTTTTTTTAAAGATTTTATTTATTTATTTGACAGAGAGAGATCACAAGTAGGCAGAGAGGGAGAGAGAGAGAGAGACAGAGGAGGAAGCAGGCTTCCCGCTGAGCAGAGAGTGTGATGCGGGGCTCGATCCCAGGACCCTGGGATCACGACCTGAGCCGAAGGCAGAGGCTTAGCCTACTGAGCCACCCAGGCGCCCCTAAAAATGAACTTCTAAGAGATTTCTGGTTTCAGGTTTATCATCCAGTTTGAGTTAATCTTTTTATAAGGTGTGAGGCAAGGGTCCAACTTCATTCTTTGGCAACTGGGAACACAGCTGTCCCAGCACTGTTTATTCAAGAGATTATTCCTTCCCCGTTGGGCAGTCCCGGCATCTTTGTCAAAAGTCAACCGGCCATAGATAATGGTTTATTTCTAGACTCTCCAATTCTATTCCACCGAACTCCAGGTCTCTTCATGCTAGTGCCACACCACCTTGATCACTGCAGGTTTGTAGTAAGTTCTAAAATTAGGAAGTGTGAGTCCTCCGACTTTTTCTTTTTTTCAAGATCAGTTTGGCAATTTTTGTTTAAATTTACAGAGAGAGAGAGAGACAGAGCATGAATGAGCATGGGGCGGGGGGGGCAGGGAGAGAATCTTCAGCAGGCTCCAAACCACACCCAGCACGGAACCTGATGTGGGGCTCGATCTCATGACCCTGAGATCATGACCTGAGCTGAAATCAAGGGTTGGATGCTTAACCTACTAAGCCACGCAGGTGCTCCAAGACAATTTGGCAATTTGGGGTCCCCTGAATTTCGTATGAATTTTAGAATCAGCCTGTCTGTTTCTGTAAAAATTCTAGCTGGGATTTTGATAAGAATTGCTTTCAGTGTGTTGGTCAGTTCATGTAGGCATGCCTTCCTCATGTAGCCTTGACTGACACCAGAAGCTCAGCCAGAGTCGAATCAAGGAACAATATAACGGCCAACACGCACTGAGCTCTGAACTTGTGCCAGTCCTGTGCTGAGCACTTCACATGGGCCAACTCACCTAATCCTTCCAATAACCCTAGGAGGTAAGGCTTATTATTAACCTCATGTGACACACAAGGAAATGGAGGCACAGAGAAGTCAGGAGACTCACCCAAGGTGGCAGGAAGTGGCAGAGGCAGGGTTCGGACACAAGAAGTCTGGCTCCAGAGCCCCTGCCTTTCTCAATCCAGAATACACAGACACTCCTCAAACCCATAAGAAAAAGACAAGAAAACCGGCAGAAAAAAATGGGGAAGGGATATGAACAGCTAATTCACCAAAGAGGAAAATACAAATGGCCGATAAATATATGAAATGATGCTCTGTCTCACTACAGTGAGGAAAATGCATGATACAGCACTAAGATATTGTGTCCATCATATTGGTAAAATGCCTTTGACTAATAAAATCTGGTTGATGTGCAGATCTGGAAGAAAAGGAACTGAATGGTATTCAGTGAATATATAATGGTATATTCATTTTGGAAACAATTTGGCAGAATCTAATAAAACAGAAAATACATATACCCTTCAGCGTGATAGTCCCACTGACCTGATACACAAAAGATATGGACAAGAATGTTCACTGAAGCCCCATTTGTAATTATGCAAAATGAAAGCAAATCACACATCGGCCAGTAAGGAAAGGGCAGCACTGGACACGGCCAGAGCCACGTCACTGGGATGCCAGCTCCATGAAGCCCAAGGTTGCGTGTGAAGTATAGATATAATGATGTGGTCCCACGGTGGCCCCCCAAATATATAGTGGAGTCCTAATCTGCAGATGCCATAAACGGGAACCCTATTTGGAAAAACAGTCTTTGCAGATGTCATTAAGGACACCTGAGACGAGATCATGCAGCATTATCCAGGTGAGTTCTAAATCCAACAAAAAGAACCCCCAGAAGAGACGAAGAGAAGACAACACCACACAAAGGAGAAGGCTCTGTAAACATGGAGGAGGCAGAGGCCAGAGTGAGGCAGCTACAAGCCACCACAGGTGTGCCCAGCCAGGAAGCTTCCTGTGCTCGAGCCTTCAGAGGGAGCGTGGCCCCGCCGACACCTTCATTTTGGACCCCTGGCCTCCAGATCGATGAGAGAACACGTTTCGGTGGGTTTAAGCCTGACAGTTTATAAAACTGAGATAACACTCACTCAAGTCTTCAATACTTACTAAATTCAAAAAAGGTTGTCCAGTAATACATGCGTAACTAAAATAAAAAGCCTCACACATCATGTAAAACACCAATCTATGTGTACGGATGTACGTAACAGCACAGAAAATCACCTGGGACCAGCATATTCCAGACGTACTCAGCAGTTTCCTCCTGGGATGGGAAGGACATTAGTAGGATGGGGAGGGGTCACAGAAAATCTCGGTTTTACTTTCTAATGTTCACACTTTAAAAAAAAAAAAAGGGGTTTAATTTTTTTTTCAAAAAAATGTAAAGAGAAATGGACAACAAAGCTTAGCATTTGAGAGTTTACATGTAGACACCATTTTAAGAAAAACCATTGTTTAAAAAAATCTAGAAGGAAAAACAAATCTCTTATTCACTTCAAAGTACTTTTTCCTTGAGCTAGGGAAAGGCAGTCTTCTAAGGCCACTGGGGAAAATGCTGTATCAGCTGTCACACATTGTGTGGTATTCTTCGCAAAGGAAACAAATGATGTTAAATATTCAGATTTGCTTTTAAATAATGCAATTTATGACACCCCTATTATATCTGATCAGTACAAAAAGTCTTTTCCTTGGGTGTATATTCTGAGTGGGTGGTGCATATTAATCACTATTGTTTGTTTTTAATAGTTTGATTACTACTCACGCTTTACTGAGGAAGTTTCTTTCAACGCATCCTCCAGACGAAAATCAGAGTCCCCAGATCCTAAAAATTAAAAAAAAAAGATTTTTAAAATTTAATTATTTTTCCATAAAACAAAATCATTCTGAAATAGTTTCTTGTGATCATTGTTTCCCTTTAGAGGGTGTCATGAAGATTAATGCCACAAAAGGAAACTGGTAGAAGCCATCCAAAGACACATTGAGTTGATTTCCTTCTACAATCAACTTATCTCCACCAAAAACAAAATGGAAAAATGGTTTTCGCAGATATAATTAAGTTAAGGATCTTGAGATCATCTAGCATTGAATCTCACCAAGTTTACTGATCACAGTCTTCTTTCCACTAGAAGCTGAAGGCTCAACTGCATGGATCACCAAGCCCAGCCCACAGAATGTACACCTTGCAACAAGGAATACTGGGGTCCAAAGCTCCACTGATTATGAGCCAGGTTCTTACATCCCCCTCCACATCTTGTAAACTCTGCACTGCTCTGTGTCAATCCAGGGTACCTTCCCCCAACCCCAGTATCCGTATCTAGATGAGCAGCTCTGATTACACACCACTTAAAAGGCTTGAGGGAAAAGCTTTTCACAAGAGAATCTGTTCTCAGAGGAGGACTCATCTGCCCAACTCTGCTTGCTTTTGGACTTGACACCTATCATTCCCCCCATATGGGCACGTAGTTTCCCAGAGGAGTGTATGTATTCTCACTTCTCAAACTATTACGCATGCATACTAGAACTGAACAAATGGGTAAGTGGGTGATGAACTGTAGAAGCCTGGCTTCTCACTGCTGGAGAGCGAGACTGTAGGTAAGAGAGGGCTAGAATGGGAGGAGTCCAAGACGGCAGGGGAGTAGGAGACCTTAGTTTCGTCCGCTCCCAGGAATTCAGCTAGCTAGCTATCAAATTATTCTCAACACCTACGAACTCAACTGGAGATATAAGAGAAGAACAGCTACAACTCTGCAAATAGAAAAACAATCACTTTCTGCAAGGTCGGGTGCAGAGAAGTGAATCGAGGCAAAGATAAACCATGGGGGAGGGAGCCTCCATAAGCCAGCTATAAGCCATAAGCCATAAGCAGCTGAAGGCCAAATCAGCTGATGAGGGACATCACTCAGGTGGCTAAACGGGGGCGGATGCTAGGTGGGACAGTGTGGTCTCGGGATCCCCAGGTCATAGGCACTGGGGGTGCCTGAGTGCAGCAGAGCTCTCAGGCATCAGAGCAGGGAAGCTGGCAGCAAACAGTGAGCCCAGGAGTGGGCTCTCAGGTTGGGGTTGCCACATACCACAAACAGTGGCACAGTCGGGCCACGGCTCTCAGAGCAGGGGCCCAGGGAGCGGCTTCTTCCCCTGGAAGGAACAGCGTGGGAGTGTGCAACAGGAGTCTGCAGGGTTTGGAGACTCAAAATGGGGTCTTGTACCTGTGATAGAAACGCTCGGTCACATGCCACACAAGCATGGAGTGTGGCTGGAGACCAGGGAGACAGGAATGACTGACTGTATTTCTCTGAGGGCGCACTGAGAAGTGGGAAACCAAGCTTTGGGCTCCAGAGCTGGAGACTGGGAGGCCGCCATCTTCATCCTCATCCTCTAAAGCTGCCCGGAAAGCCTTTGGAGGATGAAAGCTCCTGAAAGCAAATCCAACAGGTGACGTAGCCTTGCTCCCCCCACAAGGGCAGTACAAATCTACCTGGGGCAAAGACATCTGAGAATCAATGGAGCAGGCCCCTCCCCTAGAAGATAAGCAAGAACATCCAGCCAAGACCAAGTTTATGATCATAGAGAAATGCAAAACTCCGGCATTAGGGAAATACGGCACACAGAATTCATAGGGTTTTTCCCCATGATTCCTTGGTCTTTCAATTTTAATTTTCTTTCTCATTCCTTTTACAACCAATTTCTTATTTTATCAACTGTAAATCTTTTTTCATTTTTTACAGTTACATTCTATCCTTTCACTGTATGTAATTTTATTTTTGTACCTGTAAGTTTTTCTTTCTTTACAATTTTAGGATCTAGTTTTCTAACAAACAAACCAAAATACACACAGGATCCAGTGTGTATGGATCTGTTCTGTTCAACCATCTGATTCTCTTATTTTTTCCTTTTATCTTTTTTTTCAATTTCAGGTCTCTTCTGATTTGTTTAGGGTATATTTCTCTGAGGTCACTGTTGTCATTTTAGTTTTATGTTCTCTCATTCATCTATTCTTCTCCAGAAAGAAAGACAAGAGAGAAAAACGTACCTCAAAAAAGAGAACAAGAGGCAGTACTGACTGCCAGGGACCTAATCAGTATGGCTATAAGCAGAAGTTGGAACTAGAGTTCAGAATTAACAATGACAAAGATACTAGCTGGGATTGAAAGAAGCATGGACGACACTAGAGAATCCCTTTCTGGAGAAATAAAAGAACTAAAATCTAATCAAGCTAAAATTTTAAAAAAGCTATTAATGAGGTACAATAAAAAATGAAGGCTCTAACTGCTAGGATAAATGAGGCAGAAGAGAGAATTAGTGATACAGAAGACAAAATTATGGAGACTAAAGAAGCTGAGAAAAAGATAAATCTACTGGATCACGGGGGGAGAATTCTAGAGATAAGTGATACTGTCAAAGTGGAACAACAGAATAATTGGGATCCCAGAAGAAGAAAGAGAGAGGGACAGAAGGTATATTGGAGCGCATTATAGCTGAGAACTTCCCTAATCAGGGGAAGAAAACAGGCATTCAAGTCCAGGAGGCACAGAAAACTCCTCAAAAATCAGTAAATATAAGTTAACAAGGGAAACTTGCAAATCTCAAAGACAAAGAGAAAACCCTGACAGCAGCTAAGGACAAGAGGTCCATAACCTAAAAGGGCAGGAACATTATACTGGCATCAGACCTATCCACAGAGACCTGGCAGGCCAGAAAGGACTGGCATGATATATTCATAGTGCTAAATGAGAAGAATACACAGCCAAGAATACTTTATCCAGCAAGGCTGTCATTCAAAACAGGAGAGATAAAAAGCTCCCAGGACAAAGAGTTTAACTAAAAGAATTTGTGATCACTAAACCAGTCCTGCAAGAAACATTAAAAGGGATCCTTTAAGGAAAGAGAGAGCCCAAAAGTACCACAGACAAGAAAGGAACAGAGGCAATATACAGAAACAGTTATTTTAATAATAGATACATATTAATATATAGTAATACAATGGCACTAAATTCACATCTTTCAATACTTACTTGATTGTAAATGGGCTAAATGCCCCCAATCAAAAGACACAGGGCATCAGACTGGATAAAAAAGCAAGACCTACCTATATGCTGTCTGCAAGAGGCTCACTGCAGACCTAAAGACACATCCAGACTAAAACTGAGTGGGTGGAAAACCATTTATCATACTAATGGACATCAAAAGAAAGCGGGGGTGGTAATCCTTATATCAGAGAAATAAGATTTTAAACCAAAGACTGTAATAAGAGATGAGGAAGGACACCATATCATAATTAAAGGGTCTATCCAACAAGAAGATCTAACAATTGTAAATATCTATGACACCAACATGGGGTTAGCCACTTATATAAACCAATTAATAAAATTAAAGAAACACATTGATAATAATACAGTAACAGAAGGGGACTTTAACATGCCCCCTCACTGCAAAGGACAGTCATCTAAAGAGAAGATCAACAAGGAAACAAGGGCTTTGAATGACACACTGTAGCAGATGGACTTCACAGATACATTCAGAGCATTTCATCCTATAGCAAGAGAACACACATTCCTCTTGAGTGAACATGGAACAGTCTCCAAAATAGATGAAATACTGGGTCACAAATCAGGTCTCATCTGGTACCGAAAGAGTGGGGTCATTCCCTGCATATTTTCAGACAACAGTGTTTTTGAAACAGGAACTCAATCCTAAGAGGAAATCTGGAAAGAACTCAAATACATGAAGGCTAAAGAGCATACCTACTAAAGAATGAATGGGTCAACCAGGAAATTAAAGAAGATTTTAAAAATTCATGGAAACAAATGAAAATGAAAACACAACTCTTCAAAACTTTTGGGATGCAGCAAAGGCAGTCTTAAGAGGGAAATAGATAGCAATACAATCCTTTCTCAAGAAATAAGAAAGGTCTCAAATACACAACCTAACCTTACACCTAAAGGAGCTGGGGGAAAAAAAACCAGCAAATAAAGCCTAAACCCAGCAGGATAAGAAAAAGAACAGAGATTAAAGGGAAAAAAATAATGAAAGAGAAACCAATAGAACAGTAGAACAGATCAACAGAACTAGGAGCTGGTTCTTTGAAAGAATAAAATGGATAAACCCCTGGCCAGACTTAACAAAAAGAAATGAGAAAGGACCCAGATTAATAAAATCATGAACGAAAGAGGAGAGATCACAACCAACACCAAGGAAATACAATTATGAGGACACACTATAAGTAACTATATGCAAACAAATTAGGCAATCTGGAAGAAATGGATGCATTCCTAGAGAGGTATGAACTACCAAAACTGAACCAGGAAGAAATAGAAAACTTGAACAGACCCATAAGCAGCAAAGAAACTGAAGCAGTAATCAAAAAATCTCCCCAACAAAGAGATCAGGGCTGGATGGCTTCCCAGCAGAATTTAACCCAACATTTAAAGAATTAACACCTATTCTTCTGAGACTGTTTCAAAAAATAAAAATGTAAGGAAAACTTCCAAACTCCTTCTGTAAAGCCAGCATTACCTTGATCCCAAAACCAGACAAAGACCCCACCAAAATGGAGAATTACAGACCAATACCCCTGATGAACATAGAGGCCAAAATTCTCACCAAGATACTAGCCAATAGGACCAACCAGTATAATAAAAGGACTATTCACCACACCCAAGTGGGATTTATTCCTGGGCTACAAGGATGGTACAACATCCACAAGTCAATCAATGTCATATACCACATACATAAAAGAAAGGACAAAAACCATATGATCCTGTCAATAGATGCAGAAAAAAACACTGGACAAATTACAGCATCTTTTCTTGATTAAAACTCTGC